TGAGGAAGTGAAACTAAGGCAGGGATAATGAAATGATAAAAACCTGTGATTCAGCAAGAAGTGTTTTTGTGGGTGGGAATGCAGAACATACCGGTGTCCCTAGCCAGTGACATGTTCCCCTAAGAAGTACTTAGCAGTCCAGGTAAAATGTTCATAATTCATACAGAGGAACCACTGTAACATGGTGTGGGGAAAGCAAGATACAGAAACCAAGTGAGGTCTTCAGGTGTGGATGTGTCGAGCTACCGCTGGAGGGACTAAGCAGTGATAGACTCTTGTAGGTGCCCAAGACAGAGCAGTGAGAGCGGCTATCGTTGTGATGGGCCTAGTTTTATCTGGTCTCTGAGAAACCCCCTTCAGGTGTTAGCCCTTCTGCCTTGACCTCCCTGGTGTGACCTTCTCCAATGTCTCCATTTGCAGGCTGGACCCTGAGCTAGGCTGTGTTTGTCCAGTGTGTCTGAGTTTGGGTACCTGCGATCCTTCTCCTCGGGGTTCCTGTAGTCAGACAGCCATTCTTTAACAGGAGGAAAAGAGGATTTCGAAACCATTGTCTCTGTCTGTCCATCTTACCCACAGGCTCATCACTCCTTCACTATAACCCAGGAAGGCCTGATGTCCTTCAGACATCTCATCAAGTCCTGGTGCCCCAGTCTGGTTTCCCCCAAACAACTGCCTTAGTGCTTTCAATCTGCCTTCATCTCTCTGAGAAGTAGCTTAACCTTGGCTACTCTTTCCCTTCCTGCCCATTTTTTTTCCATGCCTCCCTATTAAATGAAAACTGGATGTTTTTGGAGTAAACATCCTGATCAATGCAGCGTTTAGAAATCACAACAGAGCAGTCTCATGCCCATCTCGGATATAACGAGTGGAGAGAGATCGTGGAAAAGTTAGTGGAACGATGCTACTATTCTTCCACAGCGTGAAAAGGAAGGTTGTTTTTCCTGATGTCCCTGGCACTAAGATCAGCTGCTTAGGGTTGGCTCTGCAGACAGGACTTCCTCTATAATGTTCACCAGATCCATTCTCCTAGCTAGGAGGACACAGCCTGAGTGGGAGAATGACCAGGTGCTTCTCATGACTACTAGTAACCAGATTAGCCATAGTCATGAGAAGCAATTGCAATCAAAGGGATACATCAGGTCCATGATATGCAAGGTGGAGAGAGCATTTAACATATTTCTGGGATTAGGGTAAAACTAATGGGACCTCTCATCTTTACCAGTTCCAGAGGCACCAGACACAGTCAGGGGAAATACTGCCACAAACAAACCACAGCCCCACGCCGCTCCTCAGGCACAGCTCGGGAAGATGAGATTCTTTGCCACAGGGATCCCCCAAGACCCTATTCCATTCGCGCTGTGGACTGAGCAACTGGTTTTTGCCGTCTGGCTTCGAGTTTGCAACCTAAAAATGACACATGGATTTGATAGCAAAAACCTGCCAACCTTTCAAGTCCGAGTCAATGACTGGGTTCTTCCTTATTGCTGTATAACAGTATAAGTAGGGGCCATAAGAACATGAGCGTCACCAGCAGAGGGCACTTTCAAGCAGCCATTTCATTTGAATCAAAGACAGGTTATTTTACGCTAGGTACAAATAGACTGTTTGCTGAAAGCAGCTTGCTTTATAATCTAGGATTATAAAAAATTCATAGACGTTAGGGCTGGAAGGGACCTCGTAAAATCATCGGGTCCAGCCCCCTGCCCCAGGGGCAGGAAGACAGCAGGGGTCACAGGATCCCAGCAAGATAAACACCCAGATGTTTCTTAAAAGTGTCCAGAGTAGGTGCTTGCACCACCTCTGGAGGGAGTCTATTCCAGACCTTGGGGGCTCACACAGTAAAGAAGTTTTTCCCTATGTCCAGTCCAAAACAGTCTTCCAGCAGTTCATGACCGTTGGACCTTGTCATCCCTTGGAGTGCCCTGGTGAACAGGCATTCCCCCAGATCCTGATGCACACCCCTGATGTATTTATAGCCTGCCACCACGTCCCCCCTGAGCCCTCGCTTCTCCAGGCTGAAGAGTCCCACGGCTCGCAGCCTCTCTTCATAAGGCCTTTTCTCCTGCGCTCTGATCACGCGCGTAGCTCTCCCCCAGACTCTTTCCAGAGGACATGTGTCCAATGTAGGTGTTCTGTTGTCAAACAGGCAAAAGTGCTTCTCACACCCTTTCTTTCCCTGACCTGCCTCTTACAGGGCCCTGTGTAGTGGTGCCGTGGTAAACTTGCTACCCTCCACAGCAGGGGTTCAAGACCTCAAGTGCAACAGGAGCCTGCATCACCTTTTTGAGAAGGCGCAGCTTATGCCCTGCTATACTGATGCCGTGCAAGGTCAACTGGTTCATATAAGGGTGGACAAAGGTCATAGCACCCAATTAGCCCTCTAGCTAGCATCACCAGAAGCACTGGCTAAGAGCTCCAGCTCCGCCCTGCTGCCTGGTGCACTTGTGATCTGATCCGAGGCTCGCTGGAGTTTGCAGGAGTCTTTCCATTGGCTTCAACAGTCTTTGCATCGAGATCAAGAGGAAAGGGATGTCCCTGACCCTGTACCCACCTGCACTGCGGCCACATTAGGTCCTCCACATTCTACTACTAACTCTTGATATTTGGGTAAGATATCATTGTGTCCGCTGTGGCCCTCAGGGGTATCCGGAACCATCCTTTGCTTTGCCTTGTTAGATAATATGCCTTCAAACCCACTGCCTGACTTTTCTGGGCAGACATGTTGGCAGTGTGAATAGGCTTGCTATGATCTCACCACCCTGTAAATTAAAAGAGGGTGGGCGGGGGGGGA